TCTCTCTCTCTCTCTCTCTCTCTCTCTCTCTCCTTTTCTTTCATTTCAAAGCTCATTCTAAGATTTTATTTAAAAGAGAATAACTACGTGTATTTTTGTAATTTCCTGGATGTAACGTAATGCGTTACTATAATAAGTAATTTATATAAGCTAGTCTAACGTTAAAGCGCATTGCTCCTTTGCCAAATAATAAAAACTAATAGACGGTAAATCGTCTTGTGAGATCGGTGACCTACTTGCCGAATATCGTTAAGATTTTGGCTGCATTCATTCCGTCACTCTCTCTCTCTCTCTCTCTCTCTCTCTCTCTCTATCTCTATCTCTATCTCTATCTCTATCTCTATCTATCTCTATCTCTATCTCTATCTCTATCTATCTCTATCTCTCTATCTCTCTCTTTCGCTCTCTCTGCGTGTATTCTCGTTGGCGTCTAAACTTCTCAGTGAGACGAGACATTTCTCGATGAGATTCTATATTTTCTATAAGTTTTCACAAACTTTACTTTTGATAATATTAATTGGATCGTTAATAAAATTTATTAAAATCAAATATTAAAAATATTATATATTTAATTAACTAATAACTAATAATAATAATAGAGCTATATACACGCACATAGACATGTATATATGTATATATATATATATATATATATTTATTTATTTATTTACTGAATCAAAATACGATACTACCACTTTTTTTTTACAATCCTATATATTTCTCTGCAAGCATCTACATAATATAGAATAAAAAAAAGGATAGAATTAATAACATTTCTTCATTGTAAGGTAATATTTTCTTAATGTAGTTTTCGACTAATTAAAATGAAATGTTAACACTTAACTCTTTTTATCTCTCTCTCTCTCTCTCTCTCTCTCTCTCTCTCTCTCTCTCTTTCTCTATTTTTTCTTCTTTTTTTTCTTTTTTCTTTCTTTTTTTTTTTTTTTTTTTTCTTTGACTTGTAAATCGACAATGTATTTTTAAAAGAATATCCTTTCTACGTCTCATCTTTTATTAGAAAGATAGAGTAAACAAGGTTCTCTTATACACATCACCGTAATTGCATCGTACCGAGTAAACCTTTCTAAAAGAAAGGATGGGAAGCTCGACACCCTCGAACCCTCGAAACCTCGAACGATATGACGTGGGCGTGTGATATGTTCTATCTTTCGAGCGTACATACATACATACATACATACATACATGCACGCATACATACATGCATGCATGCGTGCATGCGTGCATGCTTGCATGCATATGTATATAGATGCTATAAACGAATGAGAGTATATATGCATTTACTTACGTATGTTACGTACATATATATATATATATATATATATATATATATATATATAGGGTGTGTGTGTGTATTACATCGTGTAGTACGACTTCTATTGTAACACTCGAGGGACTTTGGTAAAGTTTACACGTCAATTCACTACCCGGGAGTGATAACGAACTTAATCTCTTGGAATATTCTCGATTAGGTACTAACTGTAAATACGTTATCGTTCTTTTACGGAATATATAATTGCCAAAAGGAAAGGTGGCGTGGGAGGGGAGGAGGAGGGGAGTGGAAAAAAAAGACATCTCCATAATCAAATTCATATATTAATAATAATGATTAGCGAAAAATTTTCTACTTTTAATCCCTTTTTTTTTTTTTTTTTTCGTTTTCTTCCTTTATTCCTTCTTTTCGTTGATCTCGTTTTCAAAGGAGGGAAAAAAACAACAATGAATCAATGATTACTGAAAACTTTGATTGTTAACTTTTTCTTCGTTTTCTTTTTTTCTTTTCTTTTCTGTATTCTTTCATTTTCGTCGATAGCGTTTTTATATAAAAAAAAAAAAATAAAATAAAATAAATAAATAAATAAAAAATAAATAAATAATAATAATCGTTAGAATAAACGAATCAACGTTTACATCAAAAGAATCGTTTCATTTTTGTGGCCCATTTTATCTTTTCTCTTTTTTTTTTTTTTTTTTTCCTTTTCATTTCATCGATCCATATTTCATAGAAAGAAAAATGAATTCAACGACGATAATCTAAAGTTGATTTAGAAAGATCGTTTAACGTCGTCTCCTCATTTTCCTTTTATTTTTATCGATCGATCGAAAGATCAATCGATCATCACATAACATAACGTAAATTTTGTATTTTATCGAAGAAGAAATTTTACGAATTTATGAAATTAAACGTTCGAAGAAGAAAACTCACGCGTGTCCCGAAAAATCGATGTAAAACTTTTGGTGGCCGCCGTAGTTTCCAACGAAGGTATAGAAAAGAAAAGTGCAGGAACATATAGAGAAAGAGAGAGAGAGAGGGAGAGAGAGAAAGAGAGAGAGAGAGAGAGAGAGAGAGAGAGAGAGAGAGAGAGAGAGAGAGAGAGAGATAGAAAGAGAAAGAGAAAGAGTAGTCGGTCGAAAATAGCTGCGGTTAATTTTGCGTCGGCCCGTGCTATAAGCGTACATCATAGAGGGTTCGCGTCTGTTC